GCTGACCTGACACGTCAACAGCAGCTAGTGACTCAATGACAGGCAGTGTTACGGGATGACGATGATGGTCAGAAATAACTGCCTGTCAGTTGTCAGGCTCAAAAAGAAAGCAAAAACGCCCTAGCCTTGCATGAATGTCACATGAGGAAATCAACAAGGATTGGCACACAGCTGAATATCATATTCTGTAGCAAACATTAGCTGCAAAATCCAAGCAATAATAAGCTTCTTCCAAAGGAAGTCATCTACTTAATTCCGGACACATAATTGACACAGACACAGCTTTCTGTGTGGCTTACCACACTCCGAACAGGAGACTTTTGAGAATCGCCGAAGCTTTAACAATACAAACCAATAACCCCCGCCTTTGTGAGCAGACTGAATTTATCGTAAATTTGAAGTTACCCTGGTAAGTCACGTGACTACGGTGAGCTTTAGGTCGCCATGAAACAGACGCAATGTTTTCGAAGAAACTATTCGCATTTCAGTTGAATTTATTCAGTTTTGTGCTTTATTTTATGTTGATGTAACTCTGTAGTAATGCACCTGATGAGATACAGCGAAAAATGCCTGGCAATAAATTGTGCAATGTATTGTTTGTATCCGCATTATTTAAATAATGAATAAGTCTAAGGGAAAAAAAACAGAGAATAATAACCCATCCAACCAAGATGTCAGGAAGTGCTTCTTTCTGATGAAATATGACAGCCACCATTTACTTTCCATCAATATGGTGGATAGGTAGCTTTCTGTATTTAGTCATAGCAATATTTTACTGCTGACAATTGTTAGTGATTAATTACGTGTGCAACCACTGATCTGTTGTAACTGCTGCTTCTACTGACGAACCAAATATCTACTGCTGTACTGTTTGTGTCGGCACTACTGACAGCTGACTTAGGCATTTCTTCTTCTTCTTCTTCTTCGCGTTCACCAGCTTTAAACTCTGGCGGAAAGTTCTGGTTGTTCATCTATTTTTGGACTGCAGTCCTGCTCCAAAACCCGAGTGTTGCGTGTGCATCTGTTTTACAGATCTGACTCATTTGTATGCAGACTGCTGGTGCCTTGCCTCTCAGGCAGATGTATTCAGACTTCAAAGGAAACTTGGGCATTTAATGCCTGTGTATGCTTTTGGTTTTGCTGAGACTGCAGTCTGTGCTCCCCCTCCCTCCACCACCACCAAGGGACAGTGCTGGGCATTGTGTGGTTTTTGTTGGCACAGGAACAGAGGAGCTATGGGGTGACCTTTTTGCTACCAAGTTGGAAACTGTGATTACCTGATTATTGACAGACCTCCTTTCACCTAGGAAACTTTCCAGCTGTTGCACTCTGGGTTGGAACAATGTATAAACTGGGAAAAACATTACAGATAGCAGCTTACAGATAGTTGTTGGTTATTTCAATTCCTTGAGCAGAGAGAGGATCACACTGTATAGACAACAAGCTAGTTCCCCCCCCGACAAGTATGGCAAACACATACACACAAACTACCATGTTAAAAATTCCCTTAGCTGTAAACATGTGATTCTATGAAAACAAAAATGGGAGGTAAGAAGAAATGAATCAAATTTCACAGCAACTAAATGTGATGGCAACCATAGGAGCAAAAGAAAAATTAGTCTTGGTTCATAGTTAACTAAATCTATAAAGACAACAAAGTCGCTACTAACCGTTTCGAGCACTTTTGGGCAGTGACTCTTCGCCCCGTCTTCGAACCTCTTTACGATGGGACTCTGAAGGCAGCACTTCAGTAAACGACTCATCAAATGACAAACTGTAGGAGTCGTCGGCTTCAGGGACCTCTTCAGGGATGCTGCTGGCTTGGGAATCATGGGCATCAATCTCTGAAGGGCTTCTGCTGAAGCCACTCAAGTCAGTCCTGACACTGTCTTCTGTCTTCACACTTGTGTAACTGTCTTCTCTGTGGACAATATATATTATGTGTATGTGAAAACAGTTTCCAAGCAGTACAATATATCCTAAGTGTGCAGAAATAAAAAGCATGAGTCGGGAAGATTCAAAAGTGGAGTACATCTCATTGGGACAGAGAATGATACAAAGATTCAACAGTGGAGTACATCTTACTGGGTCAGAAAGAGAATGATACAAAGATTCAACAGTGGAGTACATCTCATTGGGACAGAAAGAGAATGATACAAAGATCCAATAGTGGAGTACATCTTACTGGGTCAGAAAGAGAATGATACAAAGATTCAACAGTGGAGTACATCTTACTGGGTCAGAAAGAGAATGATACAAAGATTCAACAGTGGAGTACATCTTACTGGGTCAGAAAGAGAATGATACAAAGATTCAAGTGGAGTACATCTCATTGGGACAGAAAGAGAATGATACAAAGATTCAACAGTGGAGTACATCTCATTGGGACAGAAAGAGAATGATACAAAGATTCAACAGTGGAGTACATCTTACTGGGTCAGAAAGAGAATGATACAAAGATTCAACAGTGGAGTACATCTTACTGGGTCAGAAAGAGAATGATACAAAGATTCAATAGTGGAGTACATCTCATTGTGACAGAAAGAGAATGATACAAATATTCAATAGTGGAGTACATCTCATTGGGACAGAAAGAGAATGGTACAAAGATTCAACAGTGGAGTACATCTTACTGGGTCAGAAAGAGAATGGTACAAAGATTTAACAGTGGTGTACATCTCATTGGGACAGAAAGAGAATGGTACTAAGATTCAACAATGGAGTACATTTCATTGGGACAGAAAGAGAATGGTACAAAGATTCAACAGTGGACGACATCTCACCGGGACAGAAAGAGAATGGTACAAAGATTCAACAGTGGAAGACATCAGTGCCATTGCATTTCAACACTCAAGATTCCCAAGGTCTCAGTGACATGGAGGTTACAGCCATCAACTCTAGCCACTCTAATAACAAATTCTTTATGTCTCTTGTGAACTGCCTTATCCATCTCACAGGCAGCAATTAACTTTGGCGACTTAACATTCAACAGTTATCTGTATGTTGTTGTTGTTATTGATCCAGCGGCACATGAGCTTTCGCCCTTTGGCCCAATGCCATGTAGTGGAATTTACATGTTTTCACAAGCTGTTTTTTTCCTCCTATCTGGTCTCGGAGGGAGTAGCATTCTTCTAGTCTCGTTGAGTTTTGGGCACTCAAAGAGATGATGGTCAACAGTTTCGTAGGGGTAGTTACATAGCTGGCACTCTGGGGAGTGTTGTGGCTGTATTCTGTTTGAGTGTCCATTGAGTGGAATATGTTGTGTTCTGAGCCTGAAGATGGTGGCCTGGTCCCTTCTTGTTAAACGGTTAATGCTGTCATTAGTATCAGAGCAAGCCATGCTAAAAATAAACCTCTCTTCCAGTATTTCCCATGGCCCATCTGTTCAGCCAAGTCTCTTTGTTTTATAAGTGTTTTTGCTGTCTGTAGGGTTGTCGCTGTAGGTGGTTTTCTTGTGTTTCTCCTTTCTTTATCAGTCTGTCATTACCTGGTGTGCCGGAGTGGCCTGGAATCCACTGCATCAGCATCTAGAATTATCTTAGCTATGTCAGTTCTGCAGCGTTCACTGCCCTCCAGAGCTTGAAGAGCAGACACTGAATCGGTGAAGATGACAATATTTTGGGCCTTTGAAGGATAAACCTCCATTACAGCCTTTAGGTGGTATACTGCTGTTTCCAGTGCAATTATTTCAGCTTCATAATTTTAGCAGAATTTCCCGCATGCATCAAATATCTCTTCAATAGATCCATCAGGGTAACCTATGTAGATTATGTAACCTGCTTTAATGGTGGCTTTAAATGCAGATCCATCAGTATAAACATGTATCCATTCTTCAGGGTAAGAATCAATGATCTTTAGTGACGAGTTCATAAGGGTGATTCGATCGGACTTTAGTTTCTTTGTCTACCAATTTCAACCTGACTTTTGAAGCTTTAAAGCGAGCATGTGGTGGCAAGTTTCTTGCAACATTCTGAGTGCCCTGACGTCTTTCTGGGAGGTGGTATCTGTCCTGTACCTCATGTACACAGTGTAAAACTGATTTGTGCTTTATTCTTTGTATTCCCAACTTTCTATAAGGTGTCTATTAGGATGGTTACGATTCTTTCTAATACATCTTCCTAAATTTCTAAAGTAGCTTTTTCTCTCTGCAACCCGAGGGATTCCACATTTGTATGGATTTCACATGCAGCAGTTGGAGTAGACCGCATAGCTCCGCTGATTAATCGGAGGGCATTAACTCTAGCCACTCTAATAACAAAGCCTTTATGTCTCTTGAGAACCGCCTTATCCATCTCATAGGCAGCAATTAACTTTAGGGACTTGACATTCAACAATTTTCTGTAAAAATCTTTGAGTTATGGCCCTTGCTGCTTATGGTCAATGGTCAGTATTTAATTGTGGTGGCCACACACATGTAAGATATTCTACTGGCCAGAGATGTGATTTCTATTGGAGATATGTCAGTTGAGTGATTTTGTGTACTCTTGCTTGTGTTTGTGGTATTGTAGATTTATGTAATGTGCTGGTGAACACTCTCTAGCTGCAACTTTCACTTGTCGTTTGTATTTATGACACTGTGAAGCTGACTGGCTTTACTTTTAATCTGGTTTGATATCTTTTCATTACAAATCTTTCGATGGAGTGACTGTGGCTAAATTGGAATATTTGACAAAATGGTTCTTTATTAATATCTAACCTCAGATGACGTCACAGGACAGTCCGACATTTTAGAGGGTGGTAAGACTAGGTTTCCCCGGCTTTCTGATGCTTTTAACAACCCCAAACATCTACAACTGGCCCTAACCCCAACCCACCTACATCCCACAAGAGAGTGCAACCTACATACTATGAATTCATGCAGACTAGGTCCCATGAATGCATGCAGCCTGTCTACCACCCCCTGAAATATTAGACTGTCCCCTGACCTGTGGATTTCCCCTGTTTGGGGTAGGATATTAATAAAACACCAACAAAACTAATGAAACCTAAAACAACCAAACCTTGCAGTTCGTAGCAAAGAAGTCTCTTTCACTATGCTAGCTGACGCAGTGGCTGTGGATGAACGTTTGTTGTGCTGGCTCAGGGGCAGATGAGACAAGGTGCCTTTCTCCTCAGAGGCCTCACCGCCGGATCTACTTGACACCGAAAGTGAGTAAGCCCTGGATTCCGGTCGTCGATTGGCATCATTCTCCAACAAGGAAGAGGCTAGATTGATTTAACCAGCAGTTTAAAAATGTTTTAATTATATTTATTTTAAAAAGTATTACTCAAGTATCTTTCTTAAGTTTTTTAAAATACATATTGGCACTGCAATCAACGATAATGCTTACATTGAAAAAAATAATTTTAAAATGTATCTTTTACCTCTGCTAAATTAAAATTTCACAAGTTGTGCAATAAGCTACAGTATAGGTTCTTCTTTCATAGTCATACTCAAAATGGTGCTTTCGTAACAAGTCACTCCAAATAGTTCAATATTTCAGGAGGTGTGGTAGATAGGCTGCACGCAGTCGTAGGACCTAGGCTACACTCTCTCGTGGGACATAAGTGGGTTGGGGTAAGGTCTAGTTCTAGATGTTTTAGGGTTGTGACAAAGGCGTGAAACCACTCTATAAAATATTGGACTGTCCCCGTGAGGTCATCTGGGGTGACTTATTATGAAACAACCCTTAAAACTCCCATGCTCATGCCTCACATAACAGCATTAACTAGTTTTTGAATTTGAAACTAACTAAAAATTTATGTCCATTAGTTTGCCATTGCTTTCTGGACAGTCGGCTTTCTTGATACCACTGTGGAAACCAGCGCAAGGCGCATGGCCCGCAGCTGGGATCGAACCCGGCATCCCGGCATTAGGAAGTGTTCGCATCGACTTAGCCACAGAGGCGACGTTGAAACTAACTATTGTATTATATTCTTAGACTTTAACATATAAGTCTTATTGCCAGTGAGAAGGAAACACTGGAGAAAAAAAAGAACAGGATCCATCTGAATCTGGTAACTGTTGTTTTACTGAGATAATTTTAGACTTCCGAGATTCATAAAAAGCTGCTCTATGCAGCTTCTTTAACAGCTGCTTAAAGGTTGCAGTACTAGTAAAAAGCTCAAATCACCAAGCAGAGTGATCAGCTGCAACATTTTCCAAACTGAAAGTTTACATCAAAGATTCTAGAAGTTCTCACTGTCTCAGAAGCTACAAACTACACTGCACCAGCGAGGATCCTGAAATACTTTGGGTAGATTTATAACTACAAATTTTGCCCAGGTTACTCTTTTTCAATTTTCAACTGCCCAGGTATTTTTTACGTGTGCAACAATACACACAGGTGTCCTGTCTTACTACCCATTTCACTAGTACAGGAATGGAGCAACTGTGAGGTGACCCATTTGCTCCATTCCTGTACCAATGAAAACACACAGAATGTGTCCCTAATGAAAAAACAGACTTGAGATGCAGTCTCATCAAAGCACAGCACACACATATTAAATGCATAAGGCAGATGTATTAAGTGCCAGCACGAACAATCTGGCACTAGAAGTGCAGTGCTTTCTTAAATCTTCAGTAAAAGAATGATTTCTTCAAGTATACATTCCTGTTTGTTAATCAAGTCTTGTAACAATTCCTTAAAAGGTTCTAAAGAAAGGAACTGACCACCAAACATCAAAATATTGTAATGCAGCATACATGAAGGTCATTAACTTCACACAACCTATTACTATCTCACCTATTTAATTACTTGTATTCCTTTTATTTTGACATTTAAAAAAATGCACCAGACAAACAAACAAAACCAAACTTAATAAAAGATTATAAAAAGATTAATCACCTGCAGATCTTGGCCTTCCTTCCAACCTGGCATCCTTAGCTTCCCTGTGTGCTTTCACCGGCAGGTTCTGCAGGTCCTTATTGTGTTCCAGCTGTCTTGACTGTTGAATCAATCAAAACTTGAGGTTAAAATATGCTGATCTGGAACTTTACAACACACAACACAATCACAACTTCTTGTGATTAACCCTTTCGCTGCTACGTTCCAGGAAATAGTTGTCCTCCCTGTGCTAAGCAATGTAAAAAAAAAAGTCTCTGCTGTGCGCAATACTTTTCTATCCTCTAAACCCAAAAGATGCGTCCGTGGTGAGGGCTATGTTTTGTACACCTAAAAAATTTTACCCTGGGGAGTTGTGTGGTTGGTCCGAGTGGTGACAAGTCAGAGGCACGATGGTGCCCCACAAACTTGACTAACGGAGCTATCACCCTTCGGGGGAGGGGGCGGGGGAATTAATAGGAGGAACTGTTCCCAGTCCGTATCCAAAAATTTGATTGACGAACCTACCACGGCTGCCACTTTAATCATATTTACTTGTAGTCACCAAGTTATTACATACCAAAATAATTTTAAAAAAATATTCATAATAATACTAAAGTCGTCTGTTGCTGAAAAGTAGCAGGAACTCAAAGGAAAATTTACAATTAATAAAAAAAAAAAACTTGGGGGGTTGAACACACGACCCTCCGATTCTAAGGCGAACGTGATACCAATTACACTATGCTACCGCTTGACGCATTGCGCTGTGTAAATGATCATAATGAATGATGTGCGCAGACTATCAATAATGTGTCCAAGTTTGTAATCTATCGCCGCCTGCATGAGCACTGTTGTCTAAGAAATGTTTGAGATTTTTAACAATAGTAAAAATATGTCCCTCGACATTATTTTACGGGAGTTTTTAGCAAACAGTCTTTGCTCAAGTACTCGATTTTGAGTTTCTTTGTTCTAAGCATTAGCAGACAGACAGAAAAAAAAATTAGTTCGTCTGAATCTGTGTCTGTCCATCGGGAAAGACGAGAAATTTTAGTGACTTAACTGTTTGAATTTGCAGTAGCAGAAATACAGATAGAGCTGGAGTCATCAAAATCATGCACTACTGGTTTCAAATCATCGGTTCATCAAGATAACTGATCAATTTATTGCCGTTTTGATGGAGCTTCATTGTCGCTGCTCTCTGATTCCGACGATGAGGACGTCGGACAGGCAAACAGCTTTTTTTGGACACGCCGGTTTCAGCAGTCGATATTGATGGCCTAGTCAAATCTTCTTGTTCACTGTCAGAAGTACACATTTCAAAGTCATCGTCGCTATAACTTTTGACAGAAACTCCATTAATTCTTCATCAACTTTAACAAGTTTTTTTGCCATTTTGTACTAAGTGTAGAATAATCTAAAAGCACAAATATATATCAGGGCACAAAATACACAGATCACCGACCACGCTGTCATGGTAAACAAAGCAACGGGATAACGCAGAATGCAGTAAACACACCTTAAACACACCTAAAAGTACGTGCCAGTGCTTTTAATCATATGTAAATGGGTCAGTTTAATCTAAATATAGCTAATGTATATTGCCCTTCAGCCAATAAAATACGAGGTAACAGAAATCTGTAAGAAAAGTCCAAAAACGGCTTAGGACGTCCATAGCACTAGAGGGTCAAGAAAAAAAAATAACGTCCAAAGACAGGCGTAGCAGCGTACGGGAAATCGGGAAAAGACGTCCATAGCAGCGAAAGGGTTAATGATTCAACACAAATGCAAGAGTTAAATAATGTATGATAGTTTAATACCAGCGGCAATACGTAAGAAAATGGATTATTTAGTTACAAAAGTGATTGAAAAATGCAATAAATTACGAGAACATAAAAAAAAAAACATTTGTTTTGATTGATAAACTCAGATTCAATTGACAGCTTGATATACCAAATGATGAAATGAAAATGTAGTCAATCACATTTGTTTCGATAAACTTTGATTAAACAAATATGCATTCAACCACTGAAATAACGGGATAATGACTGCAAAAATCAGATTTTTTTAAATAATTATATTTTCAGACATTGAAAGGGAAATTTCAGCAACCTGAGGTAAAGTGCTAAATGACTGGAAAATCCTGAGACATCTCAGTCAGTTTCATTTTTGCACTCTTTAAACAGATTCAAACATGAATGAAATTACTGAAAAGTGCAAAGAATGACTGAACATGTGAATAAAGATATGGAAAGACATAAAACCGAACAAAAAAGCAGATTAGCGAGCTTCACATTGTAATAAACACAAATGAAAAGTGAAAGCTGCGGCTACAAAGCCTTCATCAGCACAAACATAAACAAAGCCATGTAAATGTACAGAATCACTTAACAGAGGTATCCCGAAGCAGCCACGTTGATGCCTAGCCAGTAGAATGTGAACAGAGAACAGGAAAGTCAGGAAACTTACCTTGAGGATCTGTGCCAAGGCAACAGTTTCCTGCTGGGCAATAGCAACAGACCGAGCTCGCTCCATTCCTGCCACCTGTCTCAGAGACTCCTCCATACTCTCTAGGTAGGTCAAGCTGGCAGAAAACTTGTTGCCCAGGGATCTGGGAGAGAGGCGCCCTGAAGGCTCTCTCCAGCCTCTTGTGTCGCCAGCAAGGGAGGTGGTTGGTGTGGCATGAACTGCTGCATGAGCTTCCCTTTCTGAGGCCCTGGTAGTTTCCAACTGGATTATATGGGGAAAACAAGATCTTACTTCTCACATATTTTAAATTAGATACAACAGAAAAAACCGAACACACACACACACACACAAATTACCTGGAAGCTTGTCAAAATGAAAGAGGCGTACAGATACAAGCAAATATTCTACACAAGTTCTTACTGACAAATAACAAAACAGAAATATTTAGCTTGAAAGAAAAAACTAGAACAGTCCAAATGTTACAAAGATTTTATGCCTTGACTGGGTTATGGGGCCACATTCTGGGGGAAAACACAAACAAACCCACTGATTCCTCAACAAGGATGTCGTAGGGTGCTTCCTTCAAAAGTCAGAGTGCATCTGACCGAGTGGCAAGAAACAACAAACTGCACACAAAAAAAGCCAGTAAAACGGATGTGCACACAAAACACAGATCCTGGCAGAAAGCCAAAGTCCAAGTAGATGAACAACCAGGACTTTCTGCTGGAGCATACAGCCGGTGAACAAAGAAGAGGATAAAAAAATCCATGAATCATGGACAGAACAAGCTGGCAAAATAGATTTTGTGGTCAGAACTCTGCTCGGACCACACTTGTTGTAGTGACTTATGTGGTTGCTTTTAGAAGGGCTGGTGGCATGTTGTGTTGTGGATCTGCAACTTTTAGCTCAACATATCAAATTTCAGCGAATTTCTAA